GTATTCGACAATTGAAAAACCACGGCTGACCAACAAGCGTCATCCGATCAAGAGCTCTCACATCCCCTAGGTTTTGGACCTGGATCGTCATACCCAACTGGGTATACATCCGACCCTCAGCACCCATCTAGTTTTACATCGGATCTCCTACATCCTCTTGATTTTACACATGTGCACGTTTTTATTCGATCTTCAGCTCTACAGGAGACTCGACCTAGAATCTACATGGGCAAACAACAACATCACATGAGCCATCATTCCCAATGAACTACCTACCTGCTACTAGGGTAAGGCCTGTCGAATCAGGCATACAAGAGTTGTCGCCTAACTTTAATTATTTAGCAAAAAGAGAAGGCTAATAGTGAGATAACCCAGTAACTAAAGAGTCTAGAGTAAAGAGTAAGATCAGTAGAAGTAGAGCCATTTTATGGAATGGATGCAAGGAGTTAAGCTTAGGTCCTTATCTTATACTTCCCCCGAAGTTCAAAGTACCAGACTTTAAAAAGTACGATGAGACCACCTGTCCATCTACTCACCGCACCATGTACTGTAGAAGAATGGCAGGATATACCAAGAATGAAAAGTTATTGATACATTGTTTCCAGGATAGTTTGATCGGGTCGGCTGCAAAGTGGTACAACTAGTTAACCAAATCCCACGTCAAATCATGGAGGGATTTAGCTAGGGCGTTTTTAGAGATGTACCTCCATATTACTAACTTAGTACATGACAGATTGACTCTCCAAAACATGGAGAAACGAAACAATGAAACATTTAGGCAGTACGCCCAGAAGTGGCATGATGTGGCAGTACATGTGCAACTCCCATTACTAGAAAAGAAGGCTACCATCATTTTCGTAAATACCTTGAAAACATCGTATCTTGGGCATCTGTTAGGAAATGTCACTAAGAATTTTGCTGACATGGTCATTTCAGGAGAACTGATTGAAAATGCCATTAAGAGTGGTAAAATGGAGGGAGGAGAAAGGTCAAAGTAGCCCTATTTTAAAACGAAGGAAAACGAGGTGAATCATACAAACACTTACCACAAAAACTTTGTGGCTAGTGTTACGATCACCCAGCCTATGGAAAAGAAAGTAAATGCCCATGAGAATATATGACTAAGAAGGGAGATTACGAGAATGACTTTCTCACTTGTGCCAGTGCCGTATTCTGAAATATATGCCTCGCTATTGAAAGTAGATTTTGTACGCTCCTATAAGTTGACTCTGCTACAGCTGCCTTACCCTCATTGGTATAATGCCAATGCCCACTGCGAGTATCATGCAGGGTTCTCTGGGAATGACATCGAGAACTTTTTGACATTAAAAAATATTATAAAAATCTCATCAACACTGGAGACCTGGAGTTCAAAGCACCAACTGCAAACACTCATCCCATGCTCAATCATGGCGACAGAGAATCAATGTAATCTACGAAAGGGATAATAGGAGGATAAAGAGGGGTATATCAGAAGTAAAATCTCCTCTTAGCTGGTGTTCAGACAATTATGATTATCAGGAATGATCAGGGTAATCCCGAGCCGAAACCAATGGCACGTGAAATATATTGTGAGTATCACCAAAAAGAGGATCACGACATTCATAATTGTTGTGACTTATGAGGATTACTTCAAGAGATGATGAACAATGGTGAAGTGGAATTCTTTAATAAAGAGGAGAGCCAAAGAAATATGGATGTTTGTATGACGGATGGCTCTAACATGATGCAGGGAATGAGGAAGCCTGTGATCATCACAATTAGACCCAGAAATGAGTGTTCATCATCGATAATTCCTAAAATTGTGATTAAAACTCCTTATCTTTTTCCATTCAAGGACATACAATAGGCTCCTTGGAGTTATACAACAAGCCTATCTATACCAGATGTGTCAAGGTCTTATGAAAAGATAGAGGAGGAAAAGAAGTCACTCACGGAAGAAGTAGGTGAGGTAGGCCACTTCACGAGGAGTGAAAGATGCTACTCGCCTGAGACGTCCGTAGAGGAAGACAAGGCAAAAGCCAAAGCCAAGGCAGTGGTAGTACCAAATTTTTTTAACGAAGAACCTCCACCAATCATTAATGAGCCAGTGACTGAAGCTTAGGGTTGTAAATTCTTGAGGTTTATAAAGCATAGTGAATACAAGATAGTGGAGCAACTTCAAGGGTAGCATGCCAAAATCTCAATATTGGATATGTTAATCAACTTAGAAGTAAATTAGAACATCTTGCTGAAAGTACTTAACCAGACATTCGACCATGAGGATATTTTGACACATAAGTTAGACCAAATCGTGGGACACATAGCTGTAGATAACTATATCACATTCACTGATGATGAGATCCCGGAAGGAGGAACGAGATCCATCAAGGCTTTAAATATCACGAAACAACCACGACCATATCTTTCCAGGGGTTCTAATAGATAATGGGTATGCATTAAACGTGATGCCTTTAGCTACGTTTGTAAAGGATACCCCGTAGATAGCTCACACAAAAGATCTTAGCACAATATCGTTAGGGTATTCGATGGAAACCAAAAGGACATGATAGAAAAATGGATATATCTTTGTTAATTGGGCCTGCCATCTACAACATTGACTTCGTGGTAATGGACATCTACCCGACCAATAACTACTTACTGGGGAGACCCTGGATTCACACTGCAGGGGAAGTTCCTTCATCTCTACATCAGAAGTTAAAATTCGTGATTGATTGAGATTGGTCAGCATCTTAGCTGAAGAAGAAATCATTACTTTTATAACATCTGATGCACCATACATTGACGTCAATGAAACACCTTAGAATGCTCTTTCAGGGCCTTAGAGTCCATTAATGCAATATATGTGGCTGAAGGAAGTAAAATTCTGTGCCCCGCGCTATCAGATTGTACCAAGATGACAATAAGGTAAACCCTGGGAAGAGGGGAAAAGACCGAGAATGGACTGGGAAATGATATACAAGGAATGGTATGACCTATAATTATCGAATGGAAAGAGAGACCATTTTCGGATTGGGTTTAAGCCCACCTTCTATCAACGTAGAAAATAGCTGAGAAAAATGGTTGAAGTAAGAAAAGCCAGGTTGAAAGGAGAGGATATCCCTAGAGAACTCATGTCCTTCCCTCTTCTAAAGAATTCTTTCAAATTCATAAGAGTATACGACGCAGAGCAGCAGCTGGCCAGTTCCATCAGGATCGAGGCGAAAGAGGAGGAATTGATGGGAGAAGCTTTAGAAGGACTATTTATCAACATGATTAACAGGGGCAACCAACCCATAAAGTTTTTGGCTGGAATCAGTCCTTGCTTCACAGGTGAAAAGCTCGACAATTAGATGACTGAAGACCTTATTGTAGTTTTTAGAGTTAACTCAAAGTAATGCCCAGAAATAACTCGTGTTAGTATCTTGAAATTATCTAAATGAACTTTTTGTAAACTCAATGATTATCAAATTGATTAATGAAAGATACTTATCTTATTTTCTCAAATGGAAATTGTTTTCATTTTTCGCACTTTTGCATCGTGTTATTTGCATCATATTCTTTATTCTTTACATTCTAATACATTCAAGCCAAATTTTATGTATATGTCACAATAATACTAGCATAAATGTTCCTGAGGCCAGTTACAAGATAGATTTCGAGCAATCTTTGTGTCTGGAAGAAGTCAATGAGTGCGAAGATAAGGAAGACTTTGAAGTTCCTAGTGAGCTATTAAGATTGGTGGAAAAGAGGATAAACAAATTCTACCCTACAAAGAAGAAACAAAGCTCGTGAATTTGGGAACATCGGAAGTAAATAGAGAGATAAAAATTGGCACTACTCTATCCACATGAATAAGGCTAGAGTTGATAAGTTTGATATGAGAGTTTGAAGATGTCTTTTCATGGTCGAATCAAGATATGCCTGGGTTAAGAACTGATATAGTAGTTCACAAGTTTCCCATTAAACCAGAATAAAAGCCAGTTCAACAGAAACGTAGGAGAATGAAGCCAAAAATGTTATTAAAGATCAAAGAGGAAGTAACGAAACAGATCGATCATGTTTGCTTGAAGAGAAAAAGTATCCCGAATGGGTAGCCAATATAGTTTTTGTTCCTAATAAGGATGGGAAGGTCCACATGTGCTTGGAATATCGAGACCTTACTCGGGCTAGCACGAAGGACAATTTTCCTTTGCCTTATATAAATGCTCTGGTAGACAACACTACAGGGCATTCTTGGTTTTTCTTCATGGATGGTTTCTCTGGGTATAATCAGATCAAAATGAATCCTGAGAACATGGAGAAAATAACATTTATAACCGTTTGGGGGGCTTTTTGCTATAAAGTGATGCCGTTTGGTTTGAAAAATGCTTGGACAACCTATCAAAAAACCATGGTAACTCTTTTCCATGACATGATGCACAAGGAAATTGAAGTATACGTGGTTGACATGATTCCATGTCTTGAACAAAAGAAAAACATGGAAAAATTAGAGAAACTTGTTCCAAAGATTAAGGAAGTACTAATTAAAGCAATCTATCCAAATAGACGTTCGGGGTAAAATCAGGAAACTACTGGGATTCGTGGTGAGCCAGAAAGGAATAGAGGGTTATTGGGAAAATTAAATTATATATTACGATTCATTTATCAGCTGAACGATAAGTGCGATCTGATGTTCAAATTTCTCAGGAAGAATAATCTTGAGGTATGGAATAACGAATGCCAGGAGAGTCTGGAAATTATCAAGAAATACATGTCTAATGCCACCATACTAGTAGCACCAGTACCTAGGAGGCCGCTAATTCTCTACTTAGCAGTTTTTGAGAATTCAATGGGTTGTGTGCTAGGGCAACATGACGATTCAGGAAAAAAAGGAAAAATCCATTTATTACTTGAGCAAAAAAATTACTGATTGTGAGATTCGATACTCATCGATTCAAAAATTGTGTTGTGCCTTAGTTTGGGCAACCTGGAGACTTAGGCAGTACATGTTATACCATACCACATGGTTGATATCGAGGATGGATCCATTAAAATTTTTGGAGTCTCCTGCTCTGACTGTCAGACTAGTTAGATGGCAGATGTTGTTATCTGAATTTGATATTGTCTATGTGAGCCAAAAGGGAATAAAAGAGAGTGCCATATCTGACTTTCTTGCAAGTCGTGCCTTGGAAGATTACGAGTCTCTAAACTTCAATTTTTTATACGAGGATTTGATGTGTATTTCTACTGAAGAATTAAGCATCGGGGGCAACAAATCTTGGACATTGTACTTTGATAGAGCCTCTAACGCTTTTGGAAAAGGAATTGGGGCAATGTTGATTTCCTCAGAAGAGATCTACTATCCTTTCACAAGTAGATTAGAATTTTTTTGCACCAACAACATGGCAGAATACAAAGCGTGTATTATGGGGTCAAAGGAAGCCATTGAAAGAAAGGTCAAAACACTTAAAGTATATGGATATTCCTCATTAAAAGTGTCCCAACTAAGGGTAGAATGGGAGATGAAGGACCTGAAGCTAGTTGAATATCGAAATTTGGTCCTCGAACTACTGAAAGAATTTGAGGATGTCAAATTTAGGTATCCCCCTGAGAAGATAATCAAATGGCTTAGGCTACATTGGCTGCGATGTTTAAAGCTAATAAGAAGAAAGACATGATGCCAATAAGGATGTAAGTATATAAGACCCCCACTCATTGTTATCTTCTAGAAAAAGAAATGGATGACCATCCATGGTACCATGATATCTTACACTATATGAGATGCCAGACATATCCCTCTGGTGCATTTGAAATTGACAAGAAAACAATCAGAAAAATGGCAGCTGGATACTTTCTTTATGGAGAGATCTTATATAGAAGGGGGATTGACCAAGTTTTGTTGAGATGTGTAACTGCCAAAGAAGCAAAAAGTGTAATGGAATAGGTGCATGGCGAAATGTGGAACACATGTAAATGGTCATGAGGTATGGACACTATTGGGCCACGAAGCATACAAATTACGTCAATTACGTAAGAATATGCCATAAATGTCAGATATATGCGAATAAAATTCAAACACCACCTTCGCCTATGCATGTTGTGAGCTCACCTTGGCCGTTTTCCATGTAGGGTATGGACGTCATTGGACAATCACACCAAAAGCTTCAAATGGACATTGATTCATCTTAGTGGCAATTGATTATTTTACTAAGTGGGTAAATGTCATTTTCTATTCCAGTATCAAGAGATCTATAGTTTACAAGTTCATAAAGAGAAAAATAATCTGTCGATATGTATTTCCAGAAAGAATCATCACAAATAATGTTACTAATCTGAATAACAAGATGATGGATGAACTCTGTGCGCAGTTCAAGATAAAACATGCCAATTCCCTGACATACCGCCCGAAAATAAATGGGGCAGTAGAAGCAGCGAAAATAACATAAAAAAGATCATTATGAAGACTAAAAAAACCTTACAAAGATTGCATGAGAAATTACTCTTTGCCCTATATGGATATAGGACGACCGTGCGTACATCGATAGGGGCAACCCCTTCTCTCTGGTATATGGAACAGAGGTAGTCGTACCATTCAGTTGAAATTCCATCACTATGAGTCTTAAAAGAAGTAGAGTTAGATGAGGTAGAGTGGGTCCAGTCTGGTATTGATCAACTGAATCTTATTTAAGAGAAAAGGCTGAAAGTTATATGTCATGGGAAAATGTACCAAAAGAAGATTATGCGAGTCTACGACAAGAAAGTAAGCCTAAGGAAGTTTCGAGAGGGGGATATAGTACTTAAAAAGATTTTACTAATCCAGAAAGATTTCTGCAGGAAATGAATGCCCAATTGGGAGGGGCCAAACATTGTACAAAAGGCCTTCTCCGGAGGAGCATTGATTTTTGCAGAGATGGATGGAATTGTGCTGAGAAACCCAATAAATTCAGACTCTATCAAGAAATATTATGCCTAAGAAAGAAAAAGAAAAAGAAGAAAAAGAAGAAAAAGAAAAAGAAAAAAAGAAAAGAAAAGGAGGGTTCAAGGTGAAAACCCACAAAGGGAATCTTGAAACCAAGGGAAGTATTTAAGTTGAAAATCTGAAAAGGTAGCTCTATTGCATTTTGATGTTAGGGCATCCGACAAATAAACCCTATTGAAATACTAGTAGTTCGTGAAAGACTTCACATCTGCAAACATCTTCGTTACCTTAAGATCTCCAGAAGAGGATCACCTCGAGATGTCAAGTTAACTGATTCAGGAACACTTGTGCTAGAATTCATTATGACATATTGTTTTTGCTCCCAGAGTATCTATTCAATTTTTTTGATTTCCATGACTTGGTGTAAAACTTATATTTTGTCAATGAATTTAATAATTATCATTTCAATCTTCAAATCATTCATTTCTACGTGTCACGAGCAACCGAACATAAATTCCCAACGAATAATTTTGTCGGTATTGTTTTTAAATTAACCTATAAAATACTGGGAATCCAAGGCAGTCCATCAGGTCAATATTTACACTCATTGAAGCAAATGGTTGACAAAGGGCAAGACAAGAGATGATAGAACCCCGAATAACATAGTAAACAATAAAAAGACAATAACACATTTCATTCTAAGGCATATCTTCGGCCGCTCCCAAGTAAAGGCACGCAGACTTTTGGGAGATTAGTCTTTCGAGATTACAAATCAGAGAAGGAGTTAAGAAAGACAAAGACTCAACGAGGATAAAAAAGGAAAACAAATGCTTACGAGACCTTAAAACTCAAAAACACAAAAAATCACATCATGCATATTCAAGCATTTGCAAAATATAATACACATTCATTTTACATCAAGTTTTGATTGTCTAACATGAATTTAGGGAGTCAATAAAGATTTCATGAGGAAAAACAATCAGTCTATATTTCTTTTCACCATTGAAGGAGATGGATTGCATCGAAATTAAGGATCATCTGGTCATTACCTATGTGTACTTTAAATAAAAATCACTAACAACGATAATCTTTTGCAGGTTTAAAAATCTTCAAAGAGAAGATAAACCAATCAATATTTCAAATGGAGGGTTCATAATGAGAAGAACTCATCCGATGAGGGAGAAGAAGTTAATAATAAAAAGAACTTGTTCAACCTTTTCTCGATTCATCACATATGGAGTTAAATCAGTGACATCTCACTTGAGGGATTAAAATTTCCAATGGAGAGTTAATTATGAGAAGAACTCATCCGATAGAGAGAAAAGAAGTTCTTAATAAGAAGAACTTGTTTAACATTTGCTCGATTCATCGCATATGGAGTTGGATCAGCAACGCCTTACTTGAGGGATTGACATTTCCAATTGAGAGTTCACAATGAGAAGAACTCATCCGATAGAGGGAGAAGAAGTTCATAATGGGAACAACTTGTTCAACCTTTTCTCGATTCATCACATATGGAGTTGAATCAGCGATGCCTAACGTGAAGGGTTAACATTTCCAATGGAGAGTTCATAATGAGAAGAACTCATCCGACGAGGAGAAGTAGTTTATAATGAGAATAACTTATTAAACCTTAGCTCGATTCATCGTATTTGGAGTTGAATCAGCGATGCCTCACTCAAGGATCAACATTTTCAGTAGAGAGTTCATAATGAGAAGAACTCACAGCTTGAATAATAGGGACTGAGCCGAAAAATGGTGCTTTGTGTGTCTTTGCTTTATTCACGTTTCACTGTAATGAGCAAAGAGGAGCAGTTGTAATCATTATTTTTCAATCTACCTATATATTATCATTAATATTATTATATTATAAATATTATATTATAAATATTATTATTATTAAACCAAAAACCCATTTACAAATGGGCCTCAAGCCCAACCCAACCCAGAACCTAACCATAACCTAACCCAGAGCCCAACCAGAACCCGACCTGGAGCCCAGCCTAACCTAAACCTAACCCTAGTGTAGCCGCCTCCAATCACCCCATCAGCTGCTGTCGTGTTCTGCCCTAATTCAATAAGGTTGCTCCAGCATGCCACCACCCAACACTCCACGCTACCTGCAGAAAGTAGAAAGCAAGAAAACAAACTTGTAATTATTAGCTTTTCTCTATAATGGGTATAAACACCAAGTATAAACATTGCAAATCTCTCAGTTTTTGTTTTTCCAGAAGAAATAAACTGAAAGTTTCAAGGTTATATATATATATATATATATATATATATATTTAATTTCGAGTAATAAATTTTTATTTTCTTTTTAGTTTCGAATATCAATAAAAAGGAAAGATTTTTTTAGTTTTCGAAAAATAACAAAAAAATATTTTCTTTTAGTTTCGAAAAAACGGTAAACAACAGAAAGGGCCTTTAGTTTCGGAACAACCAAAAAGAGAAAAAAAGAGGAAAAAATGTTTTAGTTCGAGAAACCAACAACCAAGCCATTTCATAGTAAAATAAAAAAAAGAAGTTGTTAGATATGGTTACCTGAGTCGTAAAAGGGATTCGTCGGAGGTCGTCAGAGTTGGGGAAACTGAAGGGTCTAAGGGATTTTTCGAGGTCTTTTAGGAATTTTTTCGGTATTTTTAGCCCAAAATAGGGGCCCAGGCTAGTAGATCTGGATTTTTGGGTCTTTTTATGTTGGTTTAGGAGTTCCGACCACCAAGTGTGGCGGGCAGAACGACGACCGAACGACGGCCGGAGCGGGGTGCAAGGCGGTTAGCAATGGGTCGGCCGAGGGAGAGAGGAGAGAAGATATATTTTTTGTTGTTTTTTTAGTTTCGGTGTAAAATGAAAAAGAGTGAAAAAATTGGTATATATAGAGATAGTTTAGGGTAAAATCACACTTAGGTCCCTCTAGGTTTAGCACGTTTTACATTTTGGTCACCTATAGGGACCAAATCTATTATTTGCCCTTTTGTTGCATGTTATATAATTTTTGGTCTATTCACTGTTTTGTCCCTCTAGGTTTAGCATTTTTACATCCTGGTCACCTGTAGGGGGTTAAAATTGTTATTTTTCCTTTTCTTTGCATGTTATATTATTATTGGATTATTTATTGTTTAGTCTCTATAAGTTTAGCGTGTTTTTACACTTTGGTCATATGTAGTGACTTTTTTAAATTTTATTTTCATTTGTCTGAACTAATTTTGTAATTTTCCCATTTTTGATTAATAGGGTATTTTAGGCTTAAATAACAGGAATAATTGGTTTTAGGTCCCTTAAACTTCCGCATTTTTTACATTTTAATCAAAAACCTATTTTTTATTTTTGTTCAGATTTGGTCATTAAATTTTAATACAATTTAATTTAGCCCTTATCATTTGTTTAATTTATTTTTTTATCTTGGTAATTTGTATTCATGCAATTTGATCCTTGTATTCATGTTTATTATTATTTTTAAATGTTTTGCTTGTTTTTTATTTTAATTTATTTAATTAAGTTTACCAGTTGATTTAATATTTCATAGTTTTTTTTTCATTAACTAGTCTTTTAGATTCCGTCCTTAGATTAGGTGGTAAATCAAATTGGAGTTAGAAATTAGGATGACACCCTAGTTTTTAATTAGGAAGCAATTTGTGTCGAGTTTTTGCATAAGATGCTTGATTAATCGAGTCGATTGCTCGACTTTTAAAATTTGTTAATCATCGACATTTTCTAAAAAAAACTCTTTTAATTTAATCCCATTTTTTAATAGGGTAA